CTCCAGACGGATGAGCAAGCTCTGAGCTTCTGTATCATGAGTCATTCGACTTTATCTGATATTCACTGTCCATTCCTGCATTACCTCAAGCATGTCTTGTGACGTGATACAAAAAAAAACATGCAAATTCCCCCCTTATCAGAAATGTATTTGTTCAGCCAAGATGTGGCTGGTATAAACATTAGGGGTGTAATGGTTAAACCCCATTCAGGGGTCGATTTTTGAGCCAGTTTGGAAAAACGTTCAGTCGTCTTAGTGAAAAGATAATCAAAGAACACTCCATTCCTTTTATTTTAAGGTTCTTCTTTTAGAAAATTGGTTGCAAAATAAAAAAATAACAACACAAGTTTAAAGTGCATCTTTTGCTCAGATGCCTTGGACACCACAAATGTAATGAAATGTGATATTCTTTGAATTATTAAACCAGTAGTTTCAGTTCTAATATGCACACATATGACTGCACACATCAGCTGAATTATGTTTTAATGCACCAGTATTCAGGTCATGATGATGAGCATGGAGTAGCCTGTTCTCTCACAAATTTAAAGTATAAAATATTTTCAAATAATTTTAATGCTATTCTTAATCATAAAAGCTATTGCAGTAATAATATATACTGTAGGTTGATCGTTACTGAACCATGGATATTCGGTTCAAAACACCCCTAATAAACAGGGCCAACAGTGAAGAGTCTACCTATAGAAAGGAAGTCAAGCAGCTGGCCTCCTGGTGCAGCAGCAACCACCTGCTGCTGAACATGCAAAAGACTGTAGAGATGGTGGTGGACCTCAGGCACAACCTCCCTCTCAGCATCAGTACCTCTGGAGATTCCACTGTGCACTATGGTCCTATGGTCACTCAAGAACCATATCCAAGGGCCTGAAGTGGGAGCTGGAACACGGTCTTTGTAGAGGTAGAGGATGTTCTTTCTCTTTCAGAGTCTGATCATCCAGTTCTACACAGCCGATCATCGAGTCCATTTCCCTCTGGTAGAAGGTTCAGGGCCATCAAAGCCAGCACAACCAGACATGCCAACAGCTTTTTCCCCAGAGCTGTAACGTGGTGTAACCACAGTGGACACCTTCACTTTAAACTCAAACTGAAACCAAAGAACCTCCCTCATTGTATTACAGCATAACTCCTGTGTAACATAATGTCCATTTGAACAACTGCACAAAAGTTCACTTTTACAAATGTTCATATCATTTTGTACTATACTGCATATAATATATGATGTGTTTTCTCAGACCTGCATATGTATAGATAATATTCTGTCACACAGACAACATGCAGCAATAGTGCTGCATTGAAAAACTACCATCATAAACTATGAATACAATAATATTCTGCTGTTGTCAGAAGAAAACCTCATATCTTTCAGTTTTTGACATAATTTGAAAATACCTGTTGGCCTTTTTGTGTGTAAATTTCATGATGAATGGACTAAAAGAAATGACCCAAAATGACTTGGGAAAAATCTGGATCCATTGACTTACATTAAAAGTAAAGCATGTTTTTTTCTTCTCCTGTAAAGTTACCGTTTATGATACAAGGTTTTCTTCCGACAACAGCGAGTTATTCATGTACTGCACTGAATCTAGTTAAACAGGCCTAATTATGCTCTCTTTGTAATGAGTCATGTCATTTTTCAGTGCTTTGTTTTTAGTATGGGTGCCAAATCTATTGTCATATTGTTCACCTCTAGTGTGAAGTACACTATATAATATAAAGTATTGGGACACCTACACGTTTCACCTACAGGAGATTTTATGACATCCCATTCTGAATCCACAGGCATTAATATGGAGTTGGACCCCTTTGCAGCTGTAACAGCTTCCATTCTTCTGGGAAGCTTCCTACAAGATTTATTGTGTGTCTTTGAGAATTTTGGCCATTCATCCAGAATTTGTGATGTCAGACACTGATGTACTTTTTGGAAGTCGCTCTGGAAAAGAGCATCTGCTGAATGCTGTAAATGTAAGTGTTAATGTAAATGATGTTGGACAAGAGGGCCTCGCTCACAATCTCTGTTTTAGTTCATCCCAAAAGGCCAGTCAAGGTCTTCCATACCAGACTCACCCAGCCATGCCTTTATGGACCTTGCTTTGTGTACTGGGGCTCAGTCATTCTGGAACAGAAAAGGTTCTTCAAACTGTTCCCATAAAGTAGGAAGCCTACAGTTGTCCAAAATGTCTTGTTCTGCTGAAGCATTAAGATTTCCCTTCACTGGAACAAAGGGGCCTCAGCCAGCCCCTGAAAAACAACCCCATAACATCATCCCTCCTCCACCAAACTTTACAGTTGGTGCAAAGCAGTCAGGCAGGTAACGTTCTCCTGGCATTCTCCAAACCCTGACTCGTCCGTCAGACTGCCAGATAGAGAAGTCTGATTCCTCACTCCACAGAATACTCAGAAACTCATGCCATGAAGCTCCCAGCACAGTTTTTATGCTGATGTTAAAGCCAGAGGAGGTTTGGAGCTCTGCAATTACTGAGTCAGCAGAGCGTTGGTGACATTTGTGCACTATATGCCTCAGCTCTCGACAACCCGATCTGTAACTTTATGTGGTCTGACGCTTTGTGGCTGAGTTACACAGTTGATTGTGGAAAATCTAGGAGAGAAGAAATTTCACAAACTGACTTGTTGCAACGGTGGTCTCCTCTATTTCATGCTCAAATTCACTGAGCTCTTCAGAACGATCTATTCTTTCACAAATGTTTGTAAAGACAGACTGAGACTTCATGGCTTGGTGCTTGATTTTTTACACCTGTGGCGATGGAACTGAAAGAAACACCTGAATTCAATGATTAAGAGGTGTGTCCCAGTTTCTAGTCTTAGACATGCCGGTTGCACAGTGCTAAGTGATGTACATAAGTTTGTTGCAGTGCGAAACTAAGGAAGCAAACTTAAGTTCCCAAACAGGTCTTGACTGATTGACTTTATTTGGAGTAAGAGGAAAGATTTTTGTGTGAACTATCGCTTTTAACACAACTATCGTCTGTTTTCTCTCTCTTCTCTCACTCTCCTCTGACTAATAGCCCTAAACTCTGTTTCTTTCCGATGATTCAAGCCAACACTGCCGTCAGACTATGAATTCATGTGTCGAGCGTGACTAACCTGAGGGTGTGTTTTTCACTCCTGCTGCTTGTTCCAGAAACTTGTTATCCACAATCTCGTATCCACATCCATGAGTATTTATAAATTTCATGACACTAAATGAGTTTTCATTACTAGATTAAAATCAGTTTTAAATGGTAAATAATCAGTGGTCAGCTTGCAGTTTGCATGATGATAATGTATATTTTAATTTCCCCAACTGATTACGAGTGAAGGCTGATGGTCACACCCTTTTAGGCTACTATTCAAAAGTTTGTAATCACTTGTCACATTAATGATTGGTTATTTTATTCAATAATACATTAATACATTAATAATACAATTATACAGTGTAGCCTGACATACAGTAATCTGGACACCAAAATGTATTTAAGTATAAATATACTGTAGATATATATTTAGAGTAATTTCATGTCAAGTTACCTGTCTGAGATTTGATCAGCACTTTTCAAATACAAAGCATTCCGGATATTAATTTTATTACAACTTTATTGTCAGTTTTTTAGCTATTAAGAAATGACCTACAGCTCTGTTCGTCATTCTGGAAAGTTTCATTTTTTATAGCTTCCAACTGTGTAAAACATAAAAAGAGTACAAAAATCATTTTATACATATAGAGTTGTATGTAAAAGTTTAAGCACCCTGGTTTTGTTGATTTTCTAAGTGAAAATAAATCAATATATCCTTTAGTATACTGAAAAAATAAAGCATAAAACGTAGGCTGTGCAAAACCTGTATCACATTTGATTTTCAGTTATATACAGTTGTATTTTTTTGATATTTTGTTCCGTCATTTAACAGAGGATAGGTGATGCTATGTGCTTCAGTACTCAGCGCCCTTCTCTTTGAGTTTACATGGTCTACCGCTTTGTGGCTGAGCTCTTGTTGCTTCTAGATGGACCCATTTCACAATAATAGCACTTACAGTTGACTGGGGCAGACCTAGCAGGGCGGAAATTTCAAACTCTGACCTGCAGGGCTCTATAACCATCCTCATTTAAAGTCTAGCTGTTCAGTACGACTCATTCCACGGCCACTGTTAGTCTATGGAGACTGCATGGTGTCAATGCTTAATTTTATACATTGTTAGTGCTGGCTGTAGCAGAAACACCTAAACTCAATAATTAGGTGTCCACATACTTTTGTCCATGTAGTGTATTTTCACTTAATAAAGAAAATAAAGAAAATGTGTATTTTTTTCCCAAAAAGTACTCTGGGGTGTTTGAAAGGTTCTTTTGTTTGGCCTTTATTTGAGAACTTGTCAGAATAGTTGGTAGATTACCCAATTATATAATCAATATTGGCACCTCTAAATTGAGTTCACATGTTTCTGGCATTGAGTCTGCTGTGCAGTTTAAGAGCTGTTGGTGAACGGCAGATTCTTTCAGTGTGTGTTCTCCAGGGCTGACGTACCAGAATGTTTGGTAATCACTCACTCGCAGTGCCTGACTGCAGGGCCTCTGTCTTTTACGTGTTCCCTCTCACTCTGCTTCCCTCCTCATTAATGTGCCTCTACACACACACACACACACACACACACACACACACACACACACACAGCATCCTCGCAGGCCTGTGCACACACTGCGTCTCTCTCTCTAAGTGCCGTGGCCCTGTGCTAGCCGCAGGGGACAAACACTAATCAACATAACTGAAGCTTCCAGACTGGAAACGCTGCACTTTGAGGACTTCACACTTTTTACTGCCTTCATTGGTTCATTTATGACCTGCAAAACAATGAGATGAATACTCAATGATGTACTTTAGCATGGGACACTAGCCAAAGATCTAGCCTGCATGAAAAAAACAATAGAAGACCGAACCAGACAGAGAGTTCAAGTCTGAGATTTGATGCTTTTATTGATTGCTTTTTCTTTTGACAGAAGGAGGGACATGCGAAGTGATCGCTGCGCACAGATGCTGTAACAAAAACAAGATCGAAGAGCGATCCCAGACTGTCAAGTGTTCCTGTTTGCCAGGGAAAGTGGCAGGAACTACAAGAAATAAGCCCTCCTGTGTGGACGGTGAGTGAATCCAGCTGCTGGCTAAACATCACCACACCATTCAGGGCCATTTTAAGGCTAATTCTCAGCCTCAAAATGAACAAACAGTTAATTGCGTCTACTGAGAATCAGTAGGAAGTATGAGCTTTCAACAGAAGTCTAAAAACGCATCAGTGCGTCTGAAGGTGGTCATTTAGCTGCGTCAGTTTTGAAATATTAATGACTATTCCTAAAGTATTTATAATGTTTTTCAGTGAAGTGTACACTCATTGTTTGTCAAATAAAGTTCTTGGACTATTTTTATATAGCACTTTTCATGCCGGTGGCAGCTCAGAGTTCTTTACAGACAGGTGAGAAAAAACAGTTATACAGGAAATTATACACCGATCAGGCATAACATTATGACCACCTCCTTGTTTCTGCGCTCATTGTCCATTTTATCAGCTCCACTTACTATATAGGTGCACTTTGTAGTTCTACAGTTACAGACTGTAGTCCATCTGTTTCTCTGCATACTTTGTTAGCCCCCTTTTACCCTGTTCTTCAGTGGTCAGGACCCCCATGGACCCTCACAGAGCAGGTATTATTTGGGTGGTGGATCATTCTCAGCACTGCAGCAACACTGACGTGGTGGTGGTGTGTTAGTGGTGTTGTGCTGGTCTGAGTGGATCAGACACAGCAGTGCTGCTGGTGTTTTTAAACACTTTGTCCACTCACTGTCCACTCTATTAGACATTTCTACCTTGTCAGTCCACCTTGTAGATGTAAAGTCAGAGACGATAGCTCATCTGCTGCTGCACAGTTTGTGTTGGTCATCCTCTAGTCCTTCATCAGTGGTCACAGGACGCTGCCCACAGGACGCTGTTGGCTGAATATGTTTGGTTGGTGGACTATTCTCAGTCCAGCAGTGACACTGAGGTGTTTAAAACCCCCAGCAGCACTGCCCTGTCTGATCCACTGTGTACAAACAGTTCATCTAGTCAGATTTGTGTTCTCTGAATTAGGGCTGTATGATATGAGCATAAAGCGCAGTGTTTGATAAAGCTGTTGGATATCATGACGATGATATGAAAAGCGATACATTATCATTAAAATAGTGCCCTTTGAGTGGAGGTACAGATGTTTTTTTCAGATGTGTAAACAGAAATCTAACCAGCCTCTCCTTTAAGCAAATAGCAAAATATAAAAGAACAAAAGCACCATTTACTATTGGGCAAAATGAAAATAAATGAAATACTAACAGCTAGTTATATCAGAACTGCGCGCAGGTTTTTTTGTGCTCTGAAAGGCTGAGAAACAGTCAGCATTACTTCAACAGCTTTTTTATGAAGGCTACAAAAACAAATAACTATATATTTATTTTTGTTTGTTTATTTAGTTAAGGTATTAAATATGTTTGTTGTGACAATACCTTGCACACCTAAAACACAGTACTCTGTGAGAAGAATGCTAATGTTTGATGTGTTTCACAGGCTTGTAGTTTAGGCAGAGTGGAGGAGTGTTTGAGCTGTGCATGAATGTGCTTTGTAATTGGCCATTTAGCCAAATTGTTAAGTTTCTTGTCCCCCGCATGGGAGAGCAGAGTTCAATCCTAGCACAGAGAAGCACTCATTAGGCTTGTTACTGTCTGTACTGTCAATGTAATGGCGTTTCTCTGGCATGCGTGTATAAGGTAATTTGATAGTAGCACTTTACAATGTGTTTATTGCTGAAATTCGTATCGTAGTAACAGTAAAAATATGATTAATCGTGCAGCCCTACTCTGAATCACCTAATTGACCTGTTTGTTAAAAAATTATAGTATAACTATATATTACTGTAGCCTCAGACCACCAGCTCAAAGACTAGCAAAAGTCCAGTGCAGATGCAAAACTTAGAATAGGTACATAGAATAATATGTAATGACCAAATAAATGCCTGTACCCTGTTACTGTTTTTGGAATAATTAAATTAAAAGCCCCCTAAAATCCAAATATGTGCAAAGATGTTACTGCAGGATAGAATAAGCTACTGCACATTATTAGAGAATTAATCATTTTGGTCATTACGTTTTTTCCAGCACGCAAAAACAAACATCAACAGTTTATTAAAGAGCCCATATTCAACATTTTTCTTGTAATTAATGTTTTCCTTGAGGTCCACTTATGATGTTTGTTTGTACCAAAAACAGCAAAATTCATTATTATGTGGCCATTTTCAAACCTCTCTTCAACGCTTAGAATTAAACAGGCTATTTTTGTAAGTCTGCCTTTCAGATGGAAATAAACAAATGACCTCTGTTCTGATTGGCCACCCTGGATTATGCCTCATTCGAAAAGCACCCCAGGCTGAATGGTTAACATGCAGAAAAATTTCAGTGAAAGTGGGTGGGACTAAACTGCTGTAGACTGAAGAGGACGATATATGCTAATGTACAGGTTTTCGTGATGTCACTGAATGATGATTTCAAAACAAGCTTTTTTTAAACCGAAGTTTCATTACATGGACTGAGTGAACTGGGAGTGAACCATTTTGAAACTTTAACAGTGTTTACAAACTACGACAAGCTCTTTTAGTGCAAAGAAACTCTTTTTTCCATGATATGGGTCCTTTAAAGTTTTTTTGCAGGTCTGTATTTTTTTCTGAACTTTTTGTATTATGGTGTAAGGTGGCCTCCAAAGACACTGGTGCCCAGGGGCCTTGTAAGGCCATGATCCATCCCTCCCTTTAACTTATAGGTTGTATAACAATATACGATATAATTTGCCAGCCAAGAAGTGACCACACTGTCTAAAGCAGGGGAATCCAATCTTATCTGTGAAGGGTCAGTATAATGAGGCAGAATAACTCAGGCACTCGTGGATAACAAGAGACTTTAACGTTAGAATTGCAGTCCAAAAACGTGGTCAGAGAACAGGCAAAGGTCAAATCCAGAAATGACAAAAGACACAAAAACAACAAACTAATCTACAAGCCCAGTCTTTGTACTAACACTAATCATAAGAAAACAGGTGTAACAAGTTAATACTCTGGAAACAGAGAGCGGTGATTGGAGCGTGATGGAGGGCTGAAGATCACGTGATCCCCCTGGAGATTCTGGGAAATGGAGTCCTTAGAGAGCTGTGAGCCCGAGGGATGCGTGACAGTCAGTGTGGCTGCAGATTTTCATTCCAAATGAAACTGGAGCACACATGATCAGTTGTTGAAGACTGACCAATTGGTGAATCAAATGGAATCAGGTGTGATCCTGCTTGTTTGGAATGAACCTCTTCAGCCACATACTGACGCTTTTAAAGATAAGATTTGACATGATTGGTCTAAACTCGGTCTAAAGCCAATACTGTGAACAAATTTCACTTAACTGCATGAAAAGCCAAGCGTAAACACCCCCAGGATGCATTTTGAGCAGATTACAATCATCACATTCAAAGGTGTTTAAGACGGATCTTGACCGCATTTAACACCAGTCTGAACAGAATGTGTTTCTGTTATCTGTACAATTACATGAGCGGAAATGCGTCTACCAAGTGCTGACTAACAGGTCAGAGGAAAAACAACGAAAAGAAAGTTGAAGGATACGCCAGGCTGAAGTTAGCCTCGAACCAACAGCCTTTATGCTCTCCAGACTGATGAAAGCGGCCGAGCTGAGCTTGTCGACTGGTATCGCAATGGGAATATATATCACAGACGTGTCAACAGAAGTAAAACAGAAACAACTATGTGTTGACATGCTTTTTGATGTGGGAAAAGGACAATCAGATCCCATCTGATTGAACTGGGAAAGTATAAATGGAATCTGGCCAAAGTTTATCCAGATATGATCCAGACATAAAACACGTTAATGCACAGTGCAGACCAGGGGTGTCAAATCAACCACTAAAAGGGCCATAGTAAAAAATCTCAGCAAATCTGTGGGCCAGTTGTGTTTTTATTTCAGTGTTACTTAACATTTTGCCTTGACCTGAACGGGCCATTGTTTATTCAAAACATGCCACACGTACAACAGCAAAATAGGCACTGAATACTTATACAAAAATAATTCTAAATAAAAATCAATTGTTTTAGGTAGTCTTTATGTGTATCCGCTGGCCCATTGTTGTTTGGGGTCAGAACGCATACCATGTTGCAGTGCATGCTGGGGACTGTAGTGCATCTCAGGGTGAAACGGGCTGCTATAAATAGAAAATTAAAATAATTTCGTGGGCTGAATAGGACTGTGTCACGGGCCTGACTTGACCCGCAGGCCTTGTGTTTGACACATGGGGTGTAGACTACTGAGTGCATAGTACTTCAACCCAGTTAATACCCATATCATGGAATGTTAATAAAGCACAAATAAACATTGAAGTTATTTCACTAAAGGTAATATATTGATAGACTTTCCCTGACTATCTTGTATTTCTTTGTCACATCACAAACAAAACTTTGTATAAATATGTAATTATCACCACCAGTAGAACTACTTTCATGTATAGGTTGTAACTATGTAAACATGCATTGCATGAGACTTTCAGGGAGACTATATTATTAGGCTATTCACTCCCACTGACTGTTAAACACATGCTAATTGTATACAGCTATCAAAATTATTAACATTTAAAATGGCATTATTATCATTGGGCTTTATGCCCTGGCATGTCATTATAATTGGTAACCTTATCGTTATTATGTAGTGAAATTATACTTTAAAATCTTTTGGCAGTGCTCATTTTATTAAATATTATCCACATGCGCTAAACGTTGTGACAGTGTGAGCTGTGGTCCAGTGTTGCTGCGGTCAGGCTTTGAGTAGTGCCAGAACAGACACTGTCGCATCCAGAAATAAGGACAGCAAGTGTTTGAGTGTGTAGTGTTTGAGCAGACTCTGCGTTCAGGTCACTCTTAGAGTGTCCTGTCCCAGAAAACCCACAGATCCTCTGGGCCTCTCATTATTACCGCTCTGTCCTTATGACAAACGAGTGGCTCTGAGCTGCTCCTGCAAGGAGAACTTCAGCCTCGACCCTTCCGAGAAATACCAGCCGAAGGAAAAAAAACGCTGCTTA